AGCTCGTGTCAGCGCTCTGCGTGCAGAGTTGACCGGCCTAAACCATATGCTGCCCGCGGAGGTCAGTCTCGCATCTGGTAGGCCTGCAACTGGAGTGCTGACCACCTCCAACGCCAGGTTTGTATGCCCATGTGGTGTACATCCTCTGACACTCCCCAGCCACCAAATAATATCCCGCAACCTCACCACCGGATTGTACGAATACCTCCTGGAGAGAGCGTCGTGCTCAACTCCGCTGAACGGGCTCCATACCTGCTGCTCCTTGAGATTCTGCACGACGACCTAGATTTTGACCCTGGAAAACGCAGTAACAGGGAGATCCTCAAGAAGATTGTTATAAAGGAGAACGAGTCGAAGGGGACATCCCGAGATCTCGCTTCCTTCACCAAGAACGACCCCCGTCACAAGCATACACTCGTCATACCTAACAACGTCAATGGCTCGGAGGTGGCTCTCGGTACGGATGCCGGAGACGCTGGGGATGCGACTTCTGAACCGCTAGCCACTTCCCCTTCGGTCATCTCTCCCTCAACTGGTCAAGAGGAAGAAGAGATTGACCTCGTCGAGCAGCTGTACGGCACTGACAGCTCGCTCCGCGCGAACGAGATGGATCTCTCCGACTCCATTGTCCTCCCACCGCCTCCCAAGAACAAAGAGCTTGACATGGTAACCTGGTCCCGGACGTCCTCGAACCCCGACACGCCCTTCCTCGACATGCACGATCCCTTCGGGACACATACCCCCTCTCTCAACCTGACGATACCCACCCCGGTGCAGCGTGGCGGGTCCTCGAGTGACCCGAATACCCCCTTGCGGCTGCAGCAGAGTCAGGGAGCAATGGCGACGCGCGTCCTGTCTCTGGACGAGTACTCCGAGCGGATGCGGACGGCCGCGGTCATGCTCGCACAGTTGAACGCCAGCCTCGTCCGGGAACCTGTGACGGCTGTGACGGGCCCTGGGATGCTTCCACCACCGCCTGAACCGTCGATGCTCGGCGCGCCTTTACGCTGGCTACCAGGAACAAGTTGGCTAACTGGCGCGTCTGCCAATGGTAGTGCACAGCCATCCGTTGCAGGCTCATCGACTGAGCCTGGCGCCGTGGCCGCGGCAGCAGCCGCACCGATGAGGATGAAGCTGCAGGCATCCGAAGCAGCGGCTATCCGGGACCGCATCATGCAGGAGATGCTGGCGTTGGAGGAGGAGAGGATGGCGCGGATGCGCGAGAACGGCGTGAATGAAAGCTCGCTGAGGATAGTATCTCAGAACGGCGACATGAAGACCGCGGAGGATGAGGGTATCATTCGGCGGGAGCTGAGCAAGGCGGATCCGTCTGCTGTCGTGTTCAGCGAGTCGTGGGCTGCGAAGAAGGTCCGTGCATCAGGGTAATTCCTGTCCCTGTGATTGGACTGAAGCGGTAACGTTCAGGCTCGTGTACGACAAGCATCGCCGTACGGCCATCTTGGTAGGTTGCTCCAGAGACTACGTTCGATGTTATATTGACCGTCCCCCCTGCAGCGAATTGGGACTGTGTGTCTGTGATTGTAAAGACCGGCGGGGATCTGCGACAAGAGCAATTAGCAGTACAGCTCATTCAGGAGTTTGAGAAGATCTGGAAGGAGGAGAATTGCCAATGCTGGGTACGATAGTGAGTGCGATCGGACGACTTCGACCTCCTTCCCGCCGAGTCTCACGGTCGAGCAGCTTCCGTATACTCATCACTGGCAACTCGTCTGGCCTGGTCGAGACGATCACCGACGCGGTCTCAATACACTCGATCAAAAAGGCAGAGTACGCTCGCAGGTTAGCGGATGGCCGGCTGGGGCACGTCACCCTCCTGGATCACTTCAGGACGGTACGTCCTGTGTCCCTCAACTTTTCCGCCCAAGGTCTCACGCGAGATGCAGACGTACGGCGACCCCTCCTCAGCCAAGTACGTCCGCGCGCAGCGGAACTTCGCCAAATCGCTCGCGGGGTACTCCCTCGTCACGTACCTGCTGCAGATCAAGGACCGACACAACGGCAACATCCTGCTGGACCGCGATGGGCACCTCATACATATCGATTTCGGCTTCATGCTCTCGAATTCGCCCGGGAACATCGGTTTCGAGGCCGCGCCGTTCAAGCTCCCGCTCGAGTACATCGAGGTACTCGGTGGGCTCGACAGTCCCGCCTACCGGGAGTTCCGGAAGCTCTTCCATGAGGGCTTCAACGCTGCGCGGAAACATTGCGACCGGATAGTCAGTGAGTGTCGCAGTCAAAGAGAACGGCCCAGATTGAGTAAGGCTGACGGCGGTCTGGCAGCTCTGGTGGAACTCATGCAGAAGGACTCATCATTACCATGTTTTGCCGCCTTCGGCGAGCAGACTGCGACGCTCTTGCGGGAGCGTTTCCAGCAGGGCCTGACCCAAGCTGCTGTCGAAGAGCACATCCAGCGGCTCATCGACACGTCTCTTGGTTCGAACTGGACGAGACTATACGATTCTGTGAGTCCTGCAGTGTCACATACCCCGCATGAGTGTTCGCTGACGTCCATCCCTGCAAACTACAGTATCAGTATTATTCGCAGTCCATCCTATGACAGGCTGCTAACCGACATCAGTGCTACCAGTGTTCGCATTGAAATCCAGTCTGGTCACCCATGGCTGCACTCAGACGGCCGAGAACCGCGGCTGCCGCGCCCTCTTTCTTGATGGTTGCTGTCAGCGAGATAACAGTAGTGCGTGCATCGCGCTCCATGCGATCGGGTCACGACTGGGCGTGATAGAGCAGTAGCAGGGAATAATTAGCGTAAGGGAGGATATACAAGGACCATAGGTCATAGCGCAGCTCAGGCAAACAGGTTATCGTAGCGCTTGAGACAACTGTACCACTCGTAATCTGTAGTATAGCGCAGTAATGTAAGCCTCGGATCTGATGACAGAACAGCGACAGGGCGTAAGTTGAACTCACCGAAGTTCTCGCTGGGGTTGCACCAGCACTTGCCCTTCTTGTGCAGCTCACCTTGTGGGCAGTGCTGGAAGGGGTTGTGGCGGTACCCTAGGGGAGAGATGGAGTGAGCGAGCTGCTGATGGTAGGGATGACACGAGAACGCGCACCGATGTCGTTGAAGAAGTGGATCTGGTCCTTCTTTGCGAAGAGGGCCGCGCCAATGCTGTGGACGGGCGCATCTCCCCATCGCTACGGCGGCTGGTCAGCACATTCAATCTAGCACAAGCTACAGGATCGTCCTGGGCCTACCTCGTAGTAGAAGCCACCCTTCTCGTCCAGGAAGTCGAAGAACTTCGAGTACGCCTCCCCGCGCCAGAAGTCCAGGTCACCAATCTCAAAGTTGCTCCAGACTGTTCGAGGTGTAAGAGCGGTCAGACTATGCCCACTTCAAGGTTACCGTTCACACGCACAGTGGCAATTGTTGTAGGTCTCGCCACCGTCGTCCGAGATGAAGCGCATAGCGTTGTCAGGCTCGACGAGATCCGGGTTGCTGTTGATGAATTCTGGACTGCGGTGTCAGCCAGTACCCTGCCATGCTTGCACACGGAGGCAAACCTTTGACTGCGTCCCAGAGCGTCGGGATGGTAGCAGGGTATTCGTAGAGCGAGATGGTGAAGCCTGAAGACAAATGCCACGTCCAGTGACCTCAATGCCCGCAGAAGCTATGCAAGTACTAACCGTAGACCTTCTTCTGGTCTTGCATGAGAAGCAGGGGCTATAGCAGGACATGTCTTAATCGCTTGCTTCCATGGGTAGGGAATGCAAACATACGTCGTAGTGCAAGTCGCAGAAAAACGTAACGTCAGGCCTGAGTCGCAGTCAGATAAGGGCCAAGTCAGCGAAGGATTCTCACTCACTCAACACGCCAGTAGTACTTGTACTTGGCAAGGAGTTCGTGTCTGTAGAAGAACTGTGATGTCGTCAGCATCTGATATAACGTTGCGGAGAGAAGAGCAACTTACGCCCGAGTTGAAGCGACACATGTTGCGGTAGGGGACGCTTCCGCCGTAGATGACATTCTTCTCCATCATATCCTTTCGAGCAGCTGTTGCGCGCTCCTCATCAATCCAAGCTGGTTGATACCATTGCTCCTTCGGAATGAGACCAAACTCGACTTTCGCGTCAGTGAGAGTCTGGATGCGGCTACGTGACACGGATGAGCACGGGCGCGCGCACGAGCCTAGACGAACGACGTACTCCTTGAATTCTTCTGTGAACGGCTCCTCGTTGAGGAAGACATAAGGATACTGGAACTCCTTGTTGAAACGGTCCTCTATCGTGTGCATTGAGCAGTGTGCAAGGTTTGGGTGCGGACACACTTACCGACTTGCTTCATACTCATCACCACACCATTGAGGTCGCCGTTACGAGCCAAGAGGACGAAGGTAGCGTTCGCTCTCCTTCCCTGCGGTGACGGTGTAGACGGGACATAGTAGTCCTCCGGGACGCCATCCTGGTATGGCGGGTGAGGTTTAGAGCCACCAAACTGCTCTGAAAGGCGGGACAAGGAGGTTGCACGGCCGTAATCCTCATGCGAAAAGCTGAGAATGAAGTGCAAACTGATCTACGTGGCCCGAGTTAGAGAGGAGGTTTGTACTGCGGAATGGGAGACTTACAATGATGCCCAGCACCAATACCGCATAGCGCATAGGCGTCATCATCTTCGGCGACGGTGGTCGAGCCTTTGAGAGGCCGCGTTAGGCAAGGAGGGTGCAGGGAGAAGGGAAAGGGAGTGGATGGGAGAAGGAGAAGAGAAGGACTGTGTTGCGAGACTGTCGGACGCGCAGCTAACAAGCGAGATCGTAATGCGATCGGCGTCTAACTCTCCCACTGAATGATCGGATGCGCGCCTGCGCAGGCCTGTGTCCTCTACAGTAGAGGACATAGCTCTACGGTAACCTAGGCTATGGGTGTCTCCCAGACCGCTAATGGTCCATGTTGGGGATCATTGTCCGACCTAAGGGAGGTTTTGTTTACTCGAACCACAATGCTGGGACCAGGTTGCCAAAAACTGGTTCGATCCGGGCTCGAACCGGAGACCTCCTGTGCACTACATGTGAGACAGACGTGATAACCAACTACACCATCGAACCGTTAAAGGGATTGCCTATTTGCCCCGTATAGAGTACAGCTTTGTAAGAAGTCACAACTGCGTCTCCGGACTTACCGAGCGGGTTGCATCCTTGCCCGCCCCGTCGAACCTCGTTGTAAGTTAACGAGCACGTATTCGAGTCCGACTAACTATCCCGTGGTAAGAAATATGATGCTTTGTACGGAGTCCGTCCGACCCACGAAGAAACTCCTGGTCACCATTTAGGCAGACGGCGCAACTTCGCTCGGGAGACAGGGGACCGCTTGATCAATCACACTACGAATACAATACATCCTGCACTAGCGACAACTGTGACGACGACATAGGGATACATTTACATAGCAGGTGCATGCATAGATAACACGACGATTCTAAACCCGAAAATTAGAAGGGATCCAATAGCGAAGGAATATTCTGACCCAATAGCCCGACAGTTACCGACAAACTCGAGCTGTCTCATGTCCCAACTATGCTCAGGCAGTCGCTTCTCTGTTCGGTACCGGGGCGGCCGTCGCCTGCAGGCTCGCCATGTTGGCCCTGAGGGACTTCTGAACAGGAACACGACCGTCATCGGGAACTTCGTCGGAGACGTCGAACGTCACCCCGGGTCGTCTCCTCCGCAGAGTGCCACGAACTTGCTGTTCGTGCTCCTCTCTGTTGCGCCATTCTTGTGCTGCCGTCATGGGGTCGCGGAGAGGAGGAGACGGACGTCCTGCCGTGGAGCTTCTTGTCGAATCTCCGCCAGTCAACATGGCGTTGATCTGATCCCATAATCAGCTAATATGGAGGAACCTAGAATGTAGGAAGACATACCACCGTGCCATCTACTGCTTCTACGGAGGCAGCGGAGACTGTGCGGTGTCGCCGGGACAACAGCCGGAAAGGGGTGAACATCTTGCCATTTGGACTACGGTTCCCGGAAGCAGAGACCGGCGTTGGTGCAGCGATGCGAGCTTGGTCCGCACTGTTCCCACGATGAGGCCGCGGTGGAGCGGGGATCGACACCGCAGCTACGGCGACCTGAGGAGTGGGAGTAGTAGCAGGTTGCTTGATTGCGAAGTAGGGTGCCTGCATGCGCGCTAAAGGCTGAGTCGGCTGGGAGACGTTGCGCGGGCGCTTTTCTCGCACAGGGGCGGCTGACGGGAGAGGTTCCATTTCCCTCTGTCTGGGCGGGGAGGATCGAGAGCGGAAGAGGCTGAGGCCAAAGAATCCCTTCTTCCGCGGGTCTTTATCCTTCTCTTTCGTCGAGGTCTTAGAGGTGGTACGGCCCAACGGTGCCGGAGGCGCGATCTGAGGGAGCATAGAAGGAGCCAACGACGAGGGCGTCAGAAGTACATCGGGCTGCGGTGCAGCAGACTGTGCCGTCTTGGTCGATCCCTGCGCCCTGGAGGACGAGTTGGCGGAAGGATACGCTGAGTTGCCGCTCCTACCAGCATACTGAGGGTCAGACGCTGTGCGAGAATGAGCGGGAGGGAAAGGAGTTAAAGGGTGGATTGGGGCAGGGGCCGGGTACGTCTGGTTACGAGTGGGCTGGGGAGGAGTGGACTGCAAGGCGACAGGTGCCTTGCCAGGAGGTGAAGAGACTGCATGGAGCCTCGGAGGCCTGACAGCTGGAGCTGGCGAAGCTGCTGATCTAGGGGGAACCCGCTGCCCCGGAACAGGCATCACACTCGAAGTAGGGGGCGCAGAATGAGGTGGCTCGAAGGTCCGGTGTCCATAGTCCGCGGCTTGAGGATTACGAGTATGGCTAGGCGAGGTAGTCTGGGGATATTGAGCCGTTTGTGCTGGCGGTGCCGGAGTGCGGCCATGCTGATAGTCATAAGCGCCCAGAGGCGTTTGTGTACTGTACGATTGCGAGTGACCGGTCGTGGCGCCGTTGGCGGCGGGCTGAGCAGTCGGGTATCCCGGAGGAGCAGGCGAGCGATATCTAGCGGGCTCGGGGTATCCGGACGAGGCGTAGGGCTGACGAGAAACCGAGGCGTTATCTGGTCGTGAATGGGCGTGAGCGTGGAGGTTCGTAGCGCTGGTACGGTGAGGTAGCTGTTGTTGGAGCGTGCTGCTCGGGGACGGCTTCGTAGGCGCAGCGTGCGTGATAGTATCGTTGGAGCCATTGCGATGTGAATGCAGACGACCCGAAGGTGAGTGCTTCGGCGTTCCTGCCGAGCCGACGGACACAGCGTGGCCTACAGCGGGAAATCGACCAGGATCAGCGAGATGCTGCCGAGAAGGGGAGTGGCCTGCGCTAGTCCCGAGCGCGTGGGCATATCCGGGATCTCCAGCGAGTTGCGCCCCTGACTGGTCATGACGCGGGGACGGCTGATGATGAGCACGTTGCCCGGACGCTTCCTTGCCGTGAGTGGCGAAGGCTTGGGACCGGCCCAGCGGCGTGTCGGGCGTGATAGTCGTTACTGATGGAGGTTTCGGGGATCGCAGATCGTGAGCTGTATCACCATTGTAGTTAGGAGGATTGACGTGGACCGCCGCTGTCGATGCAGGCGCCGAGGCTCCTGGATAAGTCATGTTCCGCTTCGGAGACGCGGAGGCCTGTCCTTGACTCGCAGAAGCCGTCGCCCGCGAACTACCTTGCTGGTTGTATGCCACCGCAGTATGCTGGCTACCGTATGCGGCCAACGCAGGTGCACCAGCGGGATCTTCATGGAGCGGAAACCTCGACGGCAGGTCATAGGAAGCGCCCCTAGTGTGCACGGACTCGTGAGGTGCGGGGTTAGTGATCCTGTGGAGGTCGGAAACACCGTACTGCTGGGCTGCGCCTGCGCCAGCCGAGGCTGACCGATAAGGATCCAAGTCGAGATGCTGGGCGGAGGACTGGGGGTGCGAATGAGATGCTTGCTGGGCAGCGGTGTTGGCGGAATGGGAGTGGCTCGTGGATTGGGGATGCGCGGGGGAGCCACGCGAGCGCGGATCGTGAGAGGGCACTTGCAATCGCCCCGCCGATGGTCCGGAGACCACGCCTAACTGGTGTGGTGGTACATCTGCAGCCGTCCGTGAAGGGCTCGGATCGTGCTGCATGGGAGCAGCGGACGGAGGTCGCACCACGACGTCTGGTAGCACGGCCTGGTGACCTCCGTGAACAGCCCCAGAAACCACCCCGTTGGCATCCGCATGCCGATGATGTGACGCCGCAACAGGATAGCCCTGGACAGGTTGTTGATGTTTGCCCGTAGCACCCGGGGTGATAGAAGTGTGGACCCTGTGGTTGTCACCGGGAGCAGACGCATAGGCTTGGCTAGGTGCGGTTTGCAGCACTGTGTCTTGTTGTCGCACAGCTGATTGGAGATACTGCTGTGCCCCCAGGGAGCCGCCTTGAGCACGGGAAACGGTTTCGTATGCGCGGTCCGCTGGCTGGGGATCTCCCTGACGGTTCACAGACGTCGTACTCTGCAATTTCGGAAGCAGAGCGGCTGCGTGCGCATCCGATGGACCCTGAGCAGCACGTATGCTGACTAGTTGAGGCGTAGGACGTTGAGATGTAGTCAGACCCACATGTGCAGTAGGCTTGCCTGCGTAAGGCGCACCAGCGTGTGTGGACAAGCTGTCATGAGGCACGGCGGTTGAGATACGCTGTGGAGAATTTCCCGAGGGTGCCGACTGCTTTGTCCCCGATCGCTCTCGCTGATGCTGAGTATCATACGTGAACAAGGCGCTTATGTCTCTCGTTACAGCTACGTACCTGTGAGTACCAAGCCTGAGCAATCTCCTGGCTCGTAGTGGGCCCCGACGATGGCTGGCCGTCAACCGCGGTAGTTTTCGACTTGTGACGCGAGGGCTCTCCGTGTGTCCTGTGCTTACGCTAGAGCGGCGATGAGCGAGTGAAGCAGGAGCAGAAACACGAGTAGAACTCACGCGCTCTTTCTGGATAGTCGGAGCCTTCTCATTCTCACTCCCAGAAGGACCAGAGGATTGACCACGTCCCAAGGTGCTGGCCTGCTCTCGACTGATATGACGCCGATCAGTCACCCTAACCTAGACGAACTGTGAGCACAGTGATCGAGGTGGGCATATCCAGAGCTGTAACTCACCCGCTCCATCCCAGAATGCTCCTGTTCGCTGCTGGAAATGCCGGAATCCTGGGCGGCTTGCTGTGCGAGAACTTGATGGCGCTGAGAACGCCCTGCCTTGGATGATGACCTCTCGCGTTTATGTCCAGGAGGCGGGATGGGTAGGGGGGGATCTTCCCTGTCAGACGCGGAAGGGTAGCCCCCCTCGACAGCGGGCGCTGGCGCCTTGACAGATGCTGCTCGCCCGCCAGTGGTAAGACCTGTCCATGGCGCGTTGGGGACAGCCGAGGATGCAGCAACATGGGCTCCTGCTTGAGGGTAGATACGACCCTGGTCCTGTGCACCATTGATCATGATATCGACGAGCTGTTCAGGGAATATACATACTGGGTAAGCGGACGGCAACCTGTCTGCGGATCTCTGAGCATAAGAAGCCGATCCCTGAGCGTACGCTTGATGTATACTGGCTGTGTCCGGAGGTTTACGATCGGCCCTTGGCTGCAGGTCGCGATGCTTGGATCTCTCCTTTTCCTTCTGCCTGTCTCGATCCTTAGAAGACCGCTCCTTCTCCTTTGCGGTCTCTTTCTCCTCCCGCCGCCTCTTCTCGCGTCCTTCGCTTCTCTCCGCAGCGTAGTCGCGCATGCTCAGCTGCTCGACTTCGCGCCTGCTGGTCTTCTCCCTGTCCTTTTCTCGCTCGCGGTGGTGTCGAGAGGACGACGTAGGATCGCGCGTAGTCTGATCGGGGGGAACAGTGTAAAAACTTGTACTGGCGGGTGGTTGCGCGTGTGCGGCCGTTGTCGCATTATGGTGACGAGAAGGATAGACGGAGCGTGTCGCTTGTGGGTCGTCGGGAGCGGGGACCTTTTCATTCGAAGAGCGAGGACTACGCTTGTCTGTCTTCCGCTTGAGGTATGCGCGGAGCCCATATGCGTCCGAGTACGCATCGTATGTTCGCGACTGTACAGAAGGGTGTGGTGATTGG